TCCACGCAGACGCACAGTCACTAGCAACATCTCATTTAGAAAAGAAATCATGAAAATGAGTTGTGTGTCCACTTAAAACTGAGAGCACGTTTTTCTTTTTGTTGGAAAACATACTCTCTTCCTTAAAAAAAAAAAAAAACAACTCTATCCCCCATTTAGCCTTTAAAAGAATGTATTGGCTTCTTCGTGATTTAATCTGTGACTTTTTCCTCATAAAATCATTGTTCAGTGCCACTGGCATACACATATTCAAACTGACCGTGTTGCTCAACCCCTTGCGATGGAATTGAATAAAAACTTGGATTAAAAGGTCAACTTTAAAATATGCATAATAAATCCACCAACAAAAAGCTTCCCAACAACTTTCTGCACCATTTCTCCTCATCCCATGACTCATGTAGGCTCCCCGAATTTTAAGGCCTGCAAATCAAAGAGCAGAACGTGTAGACCACTGGGGCCTAGGAAATTCTCTTTTGTGAATAGGGAACGAAAAGTAGAGTGAGTGAAAGCTATTTCTTAAATTAATGACGTTGACACAGTAGAGAGACGATGGTCAGACACTTAATATTTCCTTGGTATAAAAAAAAGACCTATTATTTTAAGAAATCCCTTACTCTGTGCCTTTCAAATATTTGTACCACAGCCATACTGAAAGCCTCACTTTTTTGAGATGATTATTTCTCTAATTTTATAACCGACGATAGTAAGGCCATTGGGTTTATGCAGCAGGGGCTGGTGGGTCGAACTATAGAAGTTTCTGTGTGAGGAGAGGCTCTTGCTGTAACACGGAGGGGCTGCTCATGCACTCTACAAATATTTGCTGAGTAACTACATAAATAAGATAGGAAGACAGGTTTTTTTTGGGTAAGATCATTTGTTTAATGAAAATCAATCCTTTGGTGGCATTTACACTTTTTTAAAGTTAGCAGTGCTACCTATTAATAGAGGACGCTAGACCAGAATCAGAAATAATGAGGTTTAGTTAGTACGGGCAGTTCCGGGGAGATAACACACCATTCTTTTCTTAATGGTTTTAGACTCCTCAGGCTAATTTCTTCTGCGTGCGGAAGGTGCGATTTGTGGAACAAGGAGATGTAAACACAAACGATATCGGAATTGGAACCGAATGTCGGGGTCTCCAAGTATTTCGAAATAACATCTACTCTTGCCTGCCGTCTACTTCAATTTAGGACAGCCAGGGTCAGTCCTTGAACCTCCAAAGCTGAAAACAGCTCCAGCTACAAGATTTTTCACTCTGCAAAATTTGTTAATCTCATATTCTTCTTCTTCTTCTTCTTTTTTTTTTTTCCCTATTTGGCCAGTCACACATGCTCTTTACATTAATTTTGATCTCGATTATTATGGTCCAGACGGATTTCCTAAACCTCTGTCGTTACTTGCCTCATGGCTTGCATCTGTCCTTGCCTATCTCAAGAGACTTAAAATTCCTTGGTCTTTTGTTAGTAGCTGGACTTTGCTTCGGATGATGTCTTTAAGCCCAGCCTTCATGCTTTGAGCATCGATTCCTTTTTCAGATACGTGAGTGAGCACGTACATATAACCGGTCTGTCCGACCTGGAATTGGGGATTTTATCTTTAGGACTGAGGAACCTATTTAAGTGGTATCTACTTAAAACTTTAGCATCTCTACTTAAATCTTGGATCGTTTCGGGGACTCGGGAAGCCACACACTGTGTCCTGGGGCACGGGTATAGGTGTGGGAGGTCGGTTAATGCACCAGTGATAGCGTGCACAGATTTTTTGCACACCTGCTGCGGACAAGGCCCTATTCTGAGAGCATATAGCAAATAACATGAAACACAGGGTCCGTGCTCCCAGGGGATTTATATTCTAGCAGAGGATTCACAGTGTTAAGCAGCTAAGCACAAAATTAATTATGCCACTCAGATGGGACTCTGTTCAGTTCTGCAGAATTTTATATCTCTAATTTCCCATGTTTATTGTTCAAAATACAACCGGCTATTAAATATTCAACTAGTCTTTAGGATCCAAAGGTATTTTTAAGAGAAATAAATATTTGAGGTATGATTTGTCATCTTTTATCAATGCCTTTTATCGTTAGTTAAAGACCTTTTTCGACCTTTGGACTAATAACACAGTATGGTAGGTCTTGGATTTCCTGTTCTCAGGGATCAGCTATGGGCCTCTCATGAGAGATTTCTGATTTCTTAACTTTGAGTGATCTCAGGGTCCCGGTTATGTTTTTCAGGTCATTTGCAGGGATGGCATTAGTTTTTTCTTTTTCTTTTGCCGTATATGAAGTCCTTGCTTTCGGGAGTAGAATGAAGTCCACAGTGAACAAGTCCTTTGTAACCTGTGAAGAAAATGACGTGGCCGTGACCTCTTTCTGGGGGTGTAAGCCTCGCCGTTTCGTGTACAGCGGCAAGATCACACGTTAGCTCGGAGCCTCCAGGGGTGCCAAGCCGATGGAGAACGGTTTTGAGATGAGGCTCAGCCTGGGGCTTATCACAACAGGAAACTATGATAAGGGGGATCTGCTGTGGGCAAGGAAGGGACTTGTACTGGATGTGCCAGGAATTTCCATTCCCAATATATTGACTCCCTGGGAATGGCCTGACCTTGTGGCTTTGATTTTAATCTCCCTCCAGGTATAAGGAGCGTTTATTTTATTCTGAACAGAAATGTTTTAGAAAGGACTTAAATAATCTAGCTCCCCTCCCCATTCCTAATGAAGCTAATTTGATGTTCTTATTCCCAAGTAAGATCCCACGCAGCCTGCTGTCCCTGGTAGGTTAACCGCTCTTAGCACACGTCGAAGAACGAAAACCGTTATTACCAAGCGGGAAGGGTAAGGTGGTCAATTAGACATTGTCTTTGGAAAAGCACTTACACATACAGAGTTTTTAGAAGTCGCTTTATGCGTTTTACTCTACCCCTTGGCATGTTTTGTCTTTCTGGGCATTTTTCATTTCAATTTTGAATACAATTATTTAGAATTTTAATTAGAGGTTAATTTAGAAATGAAATTATTAAAGCATTCTGCGTATGTGCACGTGTTGTCTAGGCCATACGGTGGAATGTATTTCTAACGGGTTGTGATCAAAAGAATTTGAAAGTCCCCATTCAGACGACACCGTCTGGATAGTCCAGGAACCTTGGGGAAGCGGCTAGTTTCTTAAGGCTTACTGACTGGCCCTATTTCGCCGATCTCGATCCCGATCTCAAGCAGTCCACGTGCTGCTTTATTTTGATTGTTCAGATAAAACTTTGGGAGGCATGAATTTGGGCAGGGGCGGTAAGCAAGGTCTGTTTAAGATGCATTCTGCACATACGGAAGCAAGCACAAACGCTTGAGCACTTCTATTCGTGAATGCTCACGCTGGCACGGCCACCTGCCCTCGCTCGGACGATCCTGTGACTACTGGCATGGCCCTAGCTCCCATCCCTAGGGAACCCTGCTCTGCGTGCCTGGCAGAAGTTCAGGAACAGACACGTATTGCCCTGGCCGTCCTCCATCTGGGACAGTGGTTCTCGTGGAATTCCTTGGACCACACACAGCTTATCACATCTCGGAGTCACTTGTGACTCCCACCGGCGTTGCAGGAGCTGTGGCCATTGTCGTTCCCAGCCGACAGAGCATGCTTTCCCTAATCAGTGATGTAGGTAAGATGCTATTTTTGGGGTGACCATCACTAGATTTACAAAACACGTAATCCAAAAGCATTACATCCAACTCACGTAATGAGGAAGCAGATTGAAGTCAAAGGAGCCAAGCAGCACACAGGTCACTTGGCCAGCAGGGCCCAGCCTCCAGTATCCCTAATGGCTGTGAGCTGGAGGTCAGGATCCAAACTGAACAGGAAGGTGGGAAGAGGGGCTGCCTGGGGACCTGAGATCTCACTGCAGACTCCTGCTGTTAGTAAAAACATAACAGATACGTGTTTTAGATGATATGGCGAGGAAGCACACCGAGAGGAAACTAGCACTTAGGCAGCCTGAAGGAATGGAATGGGGTCAAATACCTATTGTTCAGGAGCCTGGCAGGAAGTGGGAGAGGTGCCCTGCCCTGGGAGGGAGAGCCCTCCACGGCCTCCAATGGCTCCAGCATGATTCGCAGGTGGGGGGTGTGGGCTCTCTCAGTGCTCTCCCCCCTTCTGCTTACTGCATTCAGAAACTGTATGCTTTTTGCTACGTACCCACTTAGGAATACTGGTAAAAGAGTTTCAGGATAAACAGGACATGCGTTTTGCTTTTTTTGTAGCGAAATTTTTAAAAATAGTTATTTCTTTTATATGTAAAGAATATGTTTCTAGTAATGAATACACAACGGCCTAGCCTCAACTTCTATGTGAAATAAAAAATACTAACAAGTGTCAAGAATGCTGCCCACTTTATCCACCGCGGCTTTCTGGTTTCTTTCGGGCAGTGGTTCGGAGGTTCTGAGTTAAATGAGCTCGACTGACCTTTCCCCTGGCTTCTTGGCTTCTTTGCAATTGTGTGTGCTGTGAATGGGAAGGACGGCGTACAGGGCCGGAAGCTCTGGGATCTGCACTTGGCAGAGAACATGGCAAAGGCTCAGGGCCGCTCCCTGTGCTCTGATCCTTCTCCTCTTCCTTCCCCGGGGCTCTTCCCTCACTGGTTTTCTTCACTTTCTCTATTACGGCAGCTTTTATTCTTTTCTCTCTAGCTTATAAAGATCTCTGAAAGCAATCCACCTGTCCTTCCTAAGGCCTACCAGGTAAACAGTGGCGCCACATCATCCTTGTCTTATAGATGGGCAGCGAGTGGAGAGAGCAGGTGTGAGCACCTGGCACATGTGCTCTAGTGCATGTGCAGGTTAGAGTGTTAGTAATACCGGGCGCTCTCTGGAACCAGATGAGTGAAGTGGGGTCGTCATTAACCATCCTTTGGGCAGCTTTTTCCTTTTCGTACAGAAACATCGGTTGTGAGAGATTGGTGACAGTGAGATACAGTTGAGAAAATGGACTATTTTCTTAAAGACTGACCACACACATGCATGTTGGTAACTCAGTATTTTTATTTGACATCGGACTTCAATCCCTTTATTTGCATACTAGTGAAAACTGACCTCTCACGGTGAACAACTGCATGCTAGCTCAACTGATCCCCCTTTCATTCTCCACTTGAAGTCCAACTCTTGCTTTGTCATAACAGAAGGAAGGAAAGGGCTGCTGGTCCTTGAGAGCAAAATGGGGATGTGTGTACATGGAGGATCATGGGTGGGTTCTCCTTATGTCATGGTTTGTACGGCAACATTTGGTTTGGTAAATAGGATAGAAAAGGGTAAGAAGAGGGAAGAGGGTCTCATTATAAAAGAAATGCGAGTGCATTTCAGTGCCCCAGGTGTTTGGAGCTGCGGAGCTGGTGACCCTGCGCATGCACTGCCAGCCAGGTGTCAGGGTCTAGAATCCGAGGGTGGGAAGGAAGTTCAGGCACCACCCAGCCAGCCCCTCCCAGGGTCTAAGGAAAGGTGTCGGGAGCTTGGGTGGATGGATGGACGGGCGGGCACTCATGTTTTCAGACCCAGATGCTTAGTACTTGGTGTAAACTCGGGATCTGTGAACCACTGCTCTTTCAGTCTGAGGAGTGTCAGAAGCAATTCCGTTTTCATGCGTAAGTTTCCTCTGCGCAGCATTTTCAGTCTTGGTTGTAATTACGACGAGGGCAGTTTCCATCTGTCACCCCACTGAAGCCCAGAGCGCTCACTGCACAGCTGGGCTTGGGGTGACTGTGCCAGCAGGCTCTGGGAGGCCTCACTTACCCTTCATGGCATTTCTTCACCTGTAGTTTACCTAGAGGTGATGTAGGTGAGGCATCAAGACAGTGATGAGGCCAGGGAGAAATGGTGCGCTTGTAACCACCCAATCTGAGAGTCCTCTGTATTATACAGAGAACTCTAGCATAATAGACACTCAGAAGTAGCCTTCAGCATAAGGATTCAAGGATGGGCAGGAGAAGGCTTAAGTGTTGGACACCAAGGACCCTCAACAGAGAACTTTCTCAGCTTCCAAATTAAAAGCAATTCTCTAGGATAAATGGAATGATAACAATAACAGCAATCGATACCTAATTTTATAGCGCAATGAGCCACATTAGTTTTCCAAGTGAATATAATAGACCTTATTTACTTTCTTAACAAATAGTGGGTTTTCTCCTTCACTGTAAAACTGAGATCTGTCATCTGTGTTACCTCAATTATCAAAACATTAACATCTTTAAAACTAGTGGGCTTCCATGGAGAGGTGTAAATTTCTGTAAACCAAGGTGAACTCTTCTCGAGCAGTAAGTCAGCGGCAAATGAGGTAAGTCAGAGGCATGGCTGTGGATGCCAGCTGCTGGGTTAGTTTTTGATGGCCATGGTCCAGAGCAGCGGATGGTCCGTTTCCACGGTCACGACACCAGATCCATCATAGGTATTGGAAGTACTGACCAGTGTTCCAAAACCAAGCACGTTATTTGCTATAAGAAAACAATAAAACACAATGTTTGGTGAGAGGCAACCTTTTCTCCAGTGTGGAAGAACTTTGTCAACAGTTACCAAAAAGCGGTGAAGCACGCAGAAACATAGGCTGTGGGATTTTAAAACTGAAAGTTTCCATAACTTGCCATAACCATTTTTCAGGGAGTGGGTTATTGGTTTTTAACTATTCTGGGATATATGCCATTCTCATACAAAATTTCATTAAATTTTTTTATTATTTTTTTTCATTACCGATTGTAAAATCAAAACCCATTTTGTACTGTGCTACTTACTTCCTTGCCCGAGTGAAATTATATTTTTTCTGGGTGATTCAGAATTAACATTTTACATAAGTTATTAAACGCTATAAAGATGCAGTTTTAGCTTCAAGTCTGAATGATATGGGGCGGAAAGCTAATTACTCCAAAAAAGTATGGGATTTTGGTTATATTTTTCTCATAAATTAAGAAAAGCCAAAATGAGCAAGGCTTGCTTTCTGTAAAATTAATAGGAACTCAAAGGTCGAAGCAGATTTTCCACTGTGTCATCTGCAGGGATCCATAAGCCCAGCTGTAAAATGAGGGCAACAGATGAGATAGTCTTCTAACTATTTAATTATCAAAGTAAAGGCTTAGGAGTTAAGTGATAGAATTTACTTACCAATGACATATATACGTAGGCATGTATATATTCTAACAGGTTAGCTAGAGTTAATGCCAAGGCATTATTAGGGCAGTAAGTCAGATAACCTCACTTTGCTTGTGTAACAGCAGTTCATCAACATGACTCCAAACTCATGACTGTTCTCCTATAGACATTCCATGAGAACCAATATTATTCTCTTTGCTAAAATTCAGAGAGAAAAATAAACGGAGCGTTTTTCCTTCAAACAAAAAGTCACACTGCTTTGGGGGAAATAACTCAGTTATAATGTTCACTTCCCACTAGAGGGAGCTTGTTATCTTTCTGAGGAAATCTTGAAGAGGCAGTTTAAAAATTCAGAAATAGTATTACTGGATACTGTATGATTAGTATTACCAGTTAACACAGTTTATTTATTAAATCTCAAATTACTTATTTTTCAGAGCTGTCCATGCCTTTACTAATGCAAACACAAAGTAATAAGGTAAAACTATACAAAAATACGGAGTGGATCTCATGTGACAATCACCCTGATATATATATATATATATAATTCATTCTAAGAAGCTCTTGCCTCTTCAGTAATTTGGCACTTTTTTGAGATGAAGTTTCTAAATGATGCTAATGTGCACATACGTTTATAAATCTAGACATGATGATGTGGAGAGTGGGTTAGGGTGGTGGTCATGGACTCATGACAAAGTCTGTTTGGGATCTGTTGGAGAAAGGCCTTGGCTCCCTGAAGAGCGACCTTGCCTGGAATCAGGTGCACACCAGGTACCTCCAGACCTCGGGCCCAGGCCTAGGGTTTCAAGGCTTTCCCGATGGCCAACAAGGGAAAAGCTGGGGAACAGTTTGAGCACTGCAAACCATTTATTCATAAAGACAAGTTTGGATGCTTTAGCGGACCTGCCACCTTTACAGTGGAAATGCCCCAGAGAAGAACAATGTATGCATAAGTGCCTGAATTTGACACAGTGCATTTTAAGATTCTGGAAACTGATTAGATTAAATCCTGGTTTTTACATAAGCTCAAAGGACAAGGGCACAAAATTATGTCTCTAGTTTGTAGTTGCATATAAATTCCTTTCTGCTTTTCTGAAGGTAGACTATCACTTTCAGATCATTAGGGCTAGACACTTAGGTTTCCCTAAGGCATGAATTCTTATTGGAGAAAGAATGAATATAGTTTTTATCGCATCATGAGAGGTTCCCTTCCCATGACCTGGTTCAACCCTAGTTACCTCCCAAAGGCCCCACCTCCCGATACCACCATCTTGGCGGTTACGGCTTCCACATATGACTTCTAGGGGACACACTGAGTCTGTAGCAGTACGTTCAGAATTAATGAAAGGTCACAATTAAATACTTTCTAGTCTCCAACTTTACGGAGATTACAATAGTATGATAGAAGACTAAGATGAATAAGATGAAATACAAAAATCATAAGTTTTAATTCAGTATGTCACTACAATTATTTTGGAGTATATTCTTTCAAGTCAAAGAATCATGCTTTTCAAGCAAACTGTAAAGTTTTCCTTATAAGAAAAAAAATCTTTTTTTGAGGAAAATACTTGGAATTATGACTAAACTCCCCCTAACCCAAATGTTGGAGGGTCAATCATGAAGCAAAATAACAAGACTGGCAGAGAGACAACTTCCCACAGATTATTTTCTTCCTGTTCTATTGAGCTATATTGATGCACAGCATAATGGCTTGACATACGTATATACCAGGAAATGATTATCACAGTAAATTTGGTTAGCATGTTTTACAATTTTTTTCCTCCTTGTGATGAGAACTTTTGGAATCTTTTCTTACCAACTTTTGAATATTCCATAAGGCATTGTTAACTACACTTATGTTGTACGTGGTATGCTCAGTACTTCTATATCTTAGAACTGGATGTTTGTATCCACCTTCACCCAACTCCCCGCTACCCCTGTGCCCCTGGCAACAAACTACCTGAGGTTTTCTGTGAGGTTGTTATTTTTGGATTCTACATATAAGTGAGATCATACAGTATTTGTTTTCTTTTCTGTCTGACTCACTTCACTTACATAATGCCCTAAAAATTCATGTTGCAAATGGCAGGATTTCCTCCTTCCTATGGCAGAATAATACTCCAGTGGGGTGTGCGTGTGTGTGTATGTATGTATATACCCCAACTTCTTTATCAATTCATCCACTGTGGACACTGAGGTTGTTTCCATTTCTTGGCCCCTGTGAATAATGCTTGCTAGGGAACATGGCGTGCAGATATCTCTTCAACATAGTGTTTTCATTTCCTTCACATGTGTTCCCCGAAGTGGAATTGCTGGATCATAGTGTTGTTCTAGTTTTATTTTTTTTTGGCGGGGGAGGGGGGGGATCTCCATGCTGTTTTCCAAAGTGGCTGTACCAATTTACATTCCCATCAACAGCATACAAGGTTTCTCTTTTCTCTAAGACCATGCCAGCATCAGTTACCTTTTGTCTTTTTGATGATAGCCATCCTACAAGGCTTAAGGTGAGATAGCTCCTTGTAGTTTTGAACTGCATTTCTCTAATGATGAATGATGCTGAGCACCTTTTCATCACCTGTTGGTTATTTGAATATCTTCTTTGGAAAAATGTCTTCAGGTATTTTGGCCATTTTTCTGCCGGATTATTTGCTTTTTCTTCTTTTCACTAATGAATTTTATGAGTTCTTTATGTATTTAGATATTAACCCCTTATCAGATGGTATACAGCTTGCAAAGATTTTTTTGATCCTTTTCAAAAACAGGTTATCATTTTTTTTGGTTGTTGCTTTTGTTGTGTTAGTTTGATGCAGTTTCACTTGTTTATTTTTTAAGCTGTGGTTTGTGCTTTAGGTGTCCTATCAAAAGGCAGTTTTTTCCCTTAGGTTTTTTTTTTTTTTTTTCTTTCTAGGAGTTTCATGGCTTCAGGTTTCATGTTTAAGTCTTTATTCCATTTGGGTTAATTTTTGTGACTGGTTTAACAAAAGAGTCCAGTTTCATTCTTTCACATGTGGATATCCAATTTTCTCATTACTACTTATTGAAGAGATGGTCTTTTCTCAATTGCATATTTTTGGATCCCTTGTCAAATATTAGTTTATTCTATCAGTGGGGGGTTAATTTGGGCTCTAGATTATGTTTCATTGGCTTAGATGTATAATTTTTATGCCAGTAACATACTATTTTGATTACTACAGCATCATAATATAGTTAAATCAGGAACTGTGATGCCTCCAGCTTTGTTCTTTCTCAGAATTACTTTAGCTATTCAGGGTCTTTGGTGGTTCCATACAAATGTTAGGGTTTTTTGTTTTGTATTGTTTTTTGCTTTTGTAAAAAAAAAAAATGCCTTTAGAATCTTGTTAGGGATTGCAATAAATCTATAGATGGATCCGGATAGTTTGACAGTATGGAGATTTAAATAGTATGGACATTTTAATCATTAATTATTCCAATCCATGAACATGGGGTATCTTTCTATTTGTGTCTTATTCAATTTCTTTCATTAATATCTTGTAGTTTTCAGTGTAGAGATCTTTGACCTCTGGGTAAATTCATTCCTAATTATTTTATTGTTTTTGGTGTTATTACAAATGGGATCATTTTTTTTTTTCAGGTAACTTAGTGTTAGTATATAGAAGCACCATTGATTTTTGTATGTTAATTTTGTAACTTGTACCTTTGCTAAATTTGTTGATTTTTCTTTTGGTGGAGGTGTTAGGATTTTCTACATATAAAATCATATCATCTGCAAATAGAGAGTTTTGTTTCTTCTCTTCCACTTCTGATGCCTTTTATTTTGCCTAAGTACTCTGGCTAGGACTTCCAGTATGGTGTTGAATAGGCATGGTGACAGTTGGCACCCCTGTCTCCTTCCTGATCTTATAGGGAAGGCTTTTAGACTTTCATCATTAAGGATGATGTTAGCTGTGGGCTTGTTATATATGGCCTTTATTATATGGAGGGGGCACATTCTTTCTATGTATTAGTTAGGAGTTTTTATCATAAATAGATTTTGAGCTTTGTCAAATACTTTTTCTGCATCTATCGAGATGCTCATGATCATTTTTCTTTTATTCTATTAATGTGATGTACCACATTTACAGATTTGTATAAATGTTGAACCATCCTTGCATCCCAGAGATAAATCCTACTTGATTATGGTGAATAATCCTTCTAATATGCTGTTGAATTTAATTTGCTAGTAACTTTGTTGAAAATGTTTGCATCTGTACTTATCAGGGATACTAGCCTGTAGTTATCTTGTCATGTCCTTATCTAGCTTTGGTATCAGGTTAACGCTGGCCTTGTAAAAGGAATTGGGAATGTTTCTATCACCTCAATTTTTTGGAAG